CAAAGATTTTGTTGGCCTAGATACGCTCAAAATTATGTATAACGCATTAGTCGCGCCTCATTTTAACTACTGTTCAACTGTTTGGCAAAATAACAACCAAACACACTTAGACAAATTATATAAGTTTCAGAAACGAGCAGCAAGAATAATAACAAATTCGGACTATACTATAAGATCTTCGGACATTTTTCAAAAACTTAGCTGGAAACCTCTCGAATTAATTTTGAAAAAGCGAGATCTCCTTATGACAATTAAAGCGATTAATGGCATGCTTCCAGAATACGTAGCACAACTATTTCACACTTGTGAAAACAATGGTTACGTACTGCGCAGTAGTAATTTAAAGCTGTCTCAACCTAAACCAAAAACAAATTTCTTGAAAAATAGCTTTTCGTACAGAGGAGCAGCGTATTGGAACAACATTTCAGTAAACTTGTTGAAAACCCTAAGAGAATCAACAAGTTTAAAATCTGTCCATCATGTATTAAATAATTACATCTTGTAAATAAGTAAATAAGTAAATAAGTATATTTTGTAAAGAAGTATAATTTAGTTTATTAGTTCCTTCTTTTATAATGCATTTATTTTCCGCACGGCCCTTTGAAAATCACCTATGTACAAAATCACCTATGTACTACCGTGTTTAAAGATCAATAATAATAATAATAATAATAATAATAACCGATCAGTTGGGCTGTTCTTGATTGCAGTCCATAGGAATTTTTAGTCATAAGCGTTGTAGATAATTTTCTCTTCATGTATCTAGGTTTTTAATCATGTTTTTTGTTGTAATATGTAGTTTTAAATTCGCAGGTTCTCAATCGACAGGAGACTCGTATCGCGCGTTGAACACGTATGGTCATACACCATTGCACGAAGCTGCATCTCGGGGTCATGATGGTATCTTACAAATGTTGCTTAATCATGGTGCCAGTGTGAACGCGGTGAACAATCATGGTGATACACCATTGCACGACGCTGCATCTCGGGGTCATGATGTTATCTTACAACTGTTAGA